TTACCATTTACCAAATATAATTACAAATTTTTAAATACTTCCTGGTAGACAACATTTATTATTACAGAAGAATACTCTCCATTCTCACCTAAAACGACTTTAAGACCATTGGAATTGTTAATTCTAGACAAAGTCACATATAAATATATAATTGTCCATGTTAGCATTATGATTTATGAAACTATTTTGGCATTCTAATTTATGAAACTGTTTTGGCCTAGGTTTTGTGCTAGGCATCTTCATAGAAACATGAAGCTTGCAGGGTTCAATGGGAAATCTATTAAAGACAACCTGTAAGAAGTAACAAGAGCTACTACTATCAACCATTTCACACAAGCCATGAACAAGTTGAAGACACTGGATGCAAATGTTTATGCTTGGTTGATTGAGAAACATCCATTTGAATGGTCTAGGTCACACTTCACAACTACTTCACACTGTGACATTTTAGTCCATAACATTTGTGAATCTTTCAATGCTGTAATTCTAGAAGCTAGGGAACAACCATTACTGTCTTGCATTGAGAGCTTGAGGAAAATCTTGATGAATAGATTTTTTGAAAATAGACAAAAAGGAATGAAGTGGAATGCACCTGTGTGTCTTAGAATAGCTGAAAAAATAGTTGTAAATGAAAAACATGCTAGGAGCTATATGAGAATTCAATGTGATGAATTCAGATTTGAAATTAAAGGGGTGTATTTCCATGTGTTTTAGCAGCATGAGGTAGATTTAGAGAAGAAGACTTGTAGTTGTAAGGGATGGGAATTGAGTGGAATACCATGTAGGCATGCTATATGTGCTATATGGATAAAGAATGGGAATGAGCCTGTTTATAACTATGTCCACCACACCTACTTGGTTGACAATTACTTGAAAACATATGAAGGGAGTATAAACCCCATGGCAAGGCCTTCAGAATGGCTTGTTAGTGATATGTGGCCACCTCTCCAACCTTTGTAGTTTATACACAGCAAAGGCTGGTAGGCCACGCAAGTTAAGGAAAAAATCGACAAGCAAGTGGTAATCAAGGATGGTGAGCATCTAAATTAATCCCATATCAAAATACATTGTAGTTTATGCAAGAAGGAAGATCATAATTGTAGATGGCAGTGGTAGTGGCAGTTGCAGTGGTAACTAAGGATGGTGAGCAAATTTGGTTTTTGATGCCCTAGTTTTTGAGTTGATTAATGGCAGTGGCGGACAACAGCAAGGTTTGCTCTACTAATATGCTAATATGCTATTATTTATGCATTGCTAATCTGGTTTGAACTACTAATATGTTAATCTGCTATAGGAGGAAGTGGAGCCAGTGGAGGCAGTGTACAACAGCACCAAGAACATGAAGAAATTAACCTACACACCCCCTCTACTCAGCTACTTATAGATGAGGATGATGACTATACTCAACCTTAGCCAGATAATCACAATACTCAACAAAGGATATTTCCACCAATGCTGCTAGCCGAGCATTGAATAAACATTCACTTGCCATTAATCATACAACACAATTCACTTGCTATAATAGAATTACCATAACCATTGCCAACTAACAAAATTAACCATTGCCAACTAAATTCATACAACACAATTCACTTGCTATAATAGAATTACCATAACCATTGCCAACTAAATTCATACAGCACAATTCACTGTCATAATAACATTACCATAACCACTGCTAACATTATACATTAATGGTAATTGTAGGATAACATCCTTATCTTACTAGAACCTACAACTTTTTCTATATAAACAAAAAAAATTCCAAAAAAAAAAAAAAAAAAAAAAAAAAAAAAAACCAACAGTATTACAACCATGAATATCAACCCCATGTAAATGTTCTTCATACTCGGTTCAACACGCATTAATCGAATTTCTTCAAGTTGCCCAATCAACCGTTCAATTTCTTGTTCGTTCTTGTTTATCCTCTTTAACAACAGCACGACAGTCTCCGAGCTCGCCCACCCCTACTATGGGCCATGCGGTGACCATGAGTTCACTCCCGTTACTCAAGGAACAGAGAGATGGAAGGATAGAGTGTATGTGATTCTCTCCCCCCGTTACTCAAGGAACGGAGAGATGGAAGGATGGAGTGTTTCTTGAGCATTGTATTATTTGCATGGATTTCTGGAGATAATGTATTGGACAAGTGATGAGGTTTGCTTACATGGAAAATGATAGACAATATAGAGATTGTTGCGAGATATGAATAGAGAGCAAATTAAACATGAGTGTTTAATCAGCTAAGGATAGATAAGAGAGAGAGAGAGAGCACGCTTAAGCTTGTACAACCGCTCTCAACGAAAGCACCATTGATGGAGAAAATTGATCCCGGGGTATGTATTTATACGGGTCAATAATCTCCCTAAGAAAATATGTATAATAAAATGGTTGCAGGGAATCATTAAATAAGAAATAAATAGGCATGACACAAGATATTTAACGTGGAAACCAATACGATGAAAACCACGAGCCTTTTTGGGCTAAGCCAAGCCGTAATCCACTAAGTTGTAGGTGTAGTACATGTACATATGTGGCCATGATCATGAAATATAAGGAAGAAGAAAGAATATATATGTAGAAGAGAAGGTTTTATGTTTGAGACTGGCGTGAGCTTCCTCTGTCTTCCTGAGCCTTTATATAATATCACCTTTCTGAAGTTGCAACCTCCCCTAATATTAAGGTCACGTAATGTTCCTATTTTCTTGTCCTGACTCTTTCTTCTCTGACTGCATCTTCCCTCATAAATAATAATAATAATAATATAGCACTATTATATTATTCCATCAGTGAGAGATTTGGGCTAAAATGACGACCTACTGAACGACAACCTTAAAGAGAAAAGAAATGGAAAATGATAAATTTGCCCCCACATTTAACGTCTACTTAACACCATCTCTAAGAGAGGACCACGAGTGGTTATTTTTAAAAAGACGAAGGACTACTCGTGGTTGTTTAAAAGTCGGATGACCAGGACTGGCATATGACCAATACTCAGAGGACCATTGGAGTTATTAACTCCTTATTGTACCAACATTTAAAATTACAAATTTTATTTGTGTTTGACATAATTTTTAATGAAATTAATAACATATTTTTGAATTGTCATTTCTCTAATTTTAGAAATATAAAAGAATAAAAATAAACTCAGTGATATTTAAATTAAGAAAAACGGATAATATTTTAAGATAAATCGAAAAAAATATATAACCAATAAAAAAGTACTTTTTTTAAAGGAAAATGATTACCATTAACTTAGTACGTCAAAGCTTAAAGCTTGATACACAGTGGAATAAGGAAAAGTAAACCACTCTATACAAATATACAATCTATCTTAGACATGACATTCCTAACTACTAAATGAGCTACCATATTTGCATATCGTTTAACATGTAAAAAAAACAAATATTTGTAAATTATTTTTCTCCAGACTTTGTTGTTTCTAGCTTGCCACAGGCTCCAGCTCACAAGATACATTTCTCATCGATCAATTTGCCCTATGAAATATTGAAATTAATCTCAACCCATTCTATAAATGAAATTACATTTGTCACTATTTTGCCCTTGATCTTTTTTGATAATTCCTTTTGTATCATTTTTATTTCTATATATTTATATATTTTATTAAATATTTAAATATAAATTGTATATTATTAAAAATAAATTATATCACTCGAAAGATCTTATCAAAACGATTAAAGCAAGATTAATATTGAATATATATTAATTAAGAATTAAATTACATAAAACATAATTAAAGTTTTAATTTATTAAATTACAACTATATATGTTATTATATTAAAATAACAAAAGTATTAATATAATTTTTTTTTTAATTTATGAGAATATAAATTATTTTAGTGTAAGAATAAAATATAGTGCAAATGGATTGAAGATGAAAAAAAAAATTGGTGTAAAAATATGTTGAAATATTCTTTTTAGTGTAAACTTTGGTGTAGAGGATTAAAGATGCTCTTAGAGCATCCACACTAGTGGATAATATTGGGATAATGTCATAACAATTATGTTGGGTGGGGTTAATAGCAAATGTGGAGTGGAGTTATTTGAGGAGATATTTGTCCTGCAAAACACAAAATAATGTCAGAAAAAAAAAAAAAAAAAAAAAAAAACAGCGCGCACAGCCAAGTGCCACACGGGCGCGTGCACTACACGCGCCCGTGTGGCGCGTCAGGCGCGCTGACAGCGCTGTCAGCGCGCCTGACAAAGGCTTTATTTATTTTTATTTTTTTTTTAAAATCAGTTTTCTATTATTTTTTTTTCTTTATTTCTCTCCCCTCCCACATTCTCTTTCCTAATCACTCTTACATTATCTCCTCATTCTCCCCAATTGATGTGGATGCTCTTAGGCCATCCACACTTGTGGATATTGTGGGGAGAATTCAGAATTAAATCTTCCCTTCATGAGATAATAGCTAGTGTGGACATGAGATAATTGAAAAATAATCTCCCTGCAAATGTAGGGAGATTGTCAGAAAAAAAAAAAAAAAAAAAAAAAAAAAAAAAAAAAAAGAGAAAGAAGAAGAAGCAAGGCTGTGCGCGTTCGCGCACAGCCTTGGGCAAAAGCCGGGCGCGTGCACTGCACGCGCCCGGAGGCGCGTCAGGCGCGCCTGACGCGTCTGACTACTTTCTTTTTTTTTTTAATTTTTTTTTTGTTTTGTTTTTTCTTTTTTTTTTTCTCTCCTCTCCCACACTCTCTTTCCTAATCACTCTTACATTATCTCCCCATTCTTCCCAACCAATGTGGATGCTCTTAGAATCTTAGCCATTTTGCAGTTCAATAACAGGTGGAAAAAAAAAAGGAAAAAAAAAGAGTATTTTATATTCTCAAATTTATCATATTGGCGCTAAAGAATTTTAATATTTAAAAACGAAAAAAACTCTGGCCTATTTATATTCGCAAATCGCAATATCCAAAATGGAATATAGTAAAAAGAAAATGAAGAAGTACAATCATAAGAATAATAGTACAATTCCTTAGTACAAGTTTTATTATTATATAAGAAAATTATAGATCTATAATTTAGGTTTGTCCTAATTCCTTCTCCATACCCTTCAATTTCTCTCTCTTCCCCCAAATCTCCGGCAGAGCAGCGAAGATGATGCACATGACCTTCTACTGGGGCAAAAACGTCACCGTTTTGTTCGATTTCTGGAAAACCGACTCGTGGACCAGCTACGCGCTCACCTTGATCGCCTGCTTCGTCTTCTCCGTCTTCTACCAGTTCATGGAGGACCGCCGTCTCCGCTTCAAGCTTGTTTCCTCTCTCGGCGCTGCAAAAAACAAGCCGGATTCCGTTGATACTCCGCTCCTCCTCGGCTCCGTCGTCGGCGGCGGATGGAAGGCGGCGAGATTCGCCGGAGCTCTGCTCTTCGGGGTCAACTCCGCCATCGGCTATCTCCTGATGCTGGCCGTCATGTCTTTCAACGCCGGCGTGTTTATCGCCGTCGTGGTGGGCCTCGGCGCTGGGTACCTGGTGTTTAGGAGCGGCGGCGACGAGGACGTGGTGGTGGTCGATAATCCCTGCGCCTGTGCCTGAATTTTGGCCCCACATGTTCATGGGTTTGTTGTTGTTGGTTAGGTGGGCCATTTGCCCATTTATGTATCAGTACCTACTTTCATACTTCAAATTCCTCAGGATAATGCAGATATATCTTTTTTTATTTTTTTTTATTTTTTTTATTTTTAAATTATAATGTGATTTTTGTGTGCACATAATCATGTAATGACATAAAAAGTGAGTAAACTAATGTGGTGTTTGGTTGAAAACTTTTGTTCTATACCGTGGATTTTGATATTGATTATCATTTACCATGTTTGTTTATTTACTTTTGTTACCGAAATCAAATCATTTATTAATTATAAAATTCATTATTCTTTTATTCTTATACTTTTCAACAATAAAATCAATAATAAGGGAGAAGAAACAGATCATGGTCATTTTTCAAAAAAAAAAAAAGCAAGAAAAAGATCATTGTCCATTTATTAAATTAAATATGAAATTTTAATATATATACAGTACGGTTAAAGCTTCTCGTGTGGTTGATGCACCTTAAATATTAACATCGTGCATTTTTAGTTTATAGCAATGACGCACCTTAAGTGATACAAAGGCACACCTTAAGTGTTAGAACAATGCACCAAATTTTGTTCAAAAGTTTTGTTATTGGGGTCTGAACTAGGAGTCACCCCTCAGCAGGTCTGAGCTAGGGGTCTGGGAGACGCCTTAGTTCAAAAGGGAGAAGGGTGGCGGGCAAGGAGTGCCCGTTACCCTTTGCCGCCTTCTATTCTGTTTCAAATTTGAAAATGAAACATGACACACCTTAAGCACAAAATTCACGCACCTTAAGCATAAAAATCAAGCATCTTAAGCACAAAGCCACGCACCTTAAGTTTCAACAACTACTCACATTAAGCATAAAACTCACGCACCTTAAATTTGACATAGATGCAAAAATTACCAAATTACCACTGAGTTTTTGTTTTTTATTTTTGTTTTTGTTTTTGTTTTTTTATTTTTATTATTTTTTTTTAAATTTAGGTAATCCTAGACGTTGATTTAAGCAAGATCAATGGCTCAGATTTAATCGCACAACTGCACCTGGGCGCACCAACCACATTTGAACCTATATATATATATATATATATATATATATATATATATATATATATATATATATATATATATATATATATATATATATATATAATTTTAATTAATTATTTATTTATTTATTTATTTATTTTGATTCTAATTTCTAGTTACTACAAAATAAAGTGACTCTTTTTACTTAAATCCATTATCACTAATAAGTATTTGATATCATTACTAAGCGTTTGATTTTCATTACTATTTCAATTCTAATGTTTGAAATCACTTATCATTATTAATTATTTGATTCCTATTAATATTTTGATTTCAATGCTTGAATCAAACACACCATTATCAAGTATTTAATTCCAATTATTATTTGGATTCTAATGTTTGAACCAAACACAATCATGCTAACCTGCAGCGAAGTTGAGTAGCCTCCTGAATTAATGTAAATATTTGTGAGTCACTTTAATTAAGTCATACCTACATCACCTACATCCCATTAATAAAGGTAAATGAACATCACTTATTAGTATCCCTTAGTTCTCTATTATTGACCAAATGTTGCATTAGATACATATTTATATTCAACAGGCAGTTCCAACATTTTTCATGGAAAATGTTTTTCTAAAAGTGAAGGAAAATGATGTTTTATGTTGTTTGGTTGGATGGAAAATATTTTTCATTGAAAAAAGTTTTCATTGAGAATGAGGAAAACAAATTCCTAGCACATCCTAGGTATTTTGTTTTCCATGGAAAACTAATATGACAATTTTAGCCTTATTATTATTTATTAATTACTCTTATTATTATTATATTATTATTGTTGTGTAGGGTTATATTTGTCATTATACACATTATTCCTTACCATTCCAAACTCAACCAAACAATGGAATTCATATTCCCAGTAATTTCTTTTCCACCAACCAAACAATGGAATCTATTTTCTTGGAATTTATTTTCCATGGAATTTCAATTCCATTTCCCTTCAAATATTTTCCAGCGAACCAAACGAGGCTAATAGTTTTCAAAAAATTATGTCAAAATATAAATATTGTATAAAAAAATACATTTAAAATGTTATTTAAAAAAATGACATGCGTTGTGCATATGTAGATGTAAAAATATTCACTAAACTTTTGATATCAACTTCTTCGAAAATCTCATTTTCAATTGAAATTAAAGCTAGTCCAGTAGTCTCTCTTACAATATACTTGATCATAGGTAAGATTTGAACCATTTTAACTTTTTTTTTTAAACAATTTTTTTTTTTTTTTTTTTTTTTTTTTTTTTGCAGAGGCAACCGTAATTGAGATAGTCAATAATATTTGATATGCAATGGTAGCATTTGGAAAACAACCCATCTACTCACTGCTCATATCTTTTCTTTTGATAAAATCTCTCTAAGAAATTTTAGTTCAATATACAATTCATTTCCTCAATATCGCCAAACTGTTCATCTTTCTTAGGAACTGCTTCTAAACAAATGCATCAAGACTTCAAATCCATAACACACATCAATTGTAACTTGTCAGAATTAAACAAAAAAAAAATATCAAAAGTTCCTTCGTATACTTCATATTGCTCAAAACTCTGAGTCAATGAAACAATAGCTTGATATACAATGTATAAAAAATAATGAACACTACAAGTTTCCTCTGGTGGTAATGAAGTGTTATCAACACTCATCAAATTTTCTTTTTCTACAATTTTTTCGCTTTTGAGGAAACACCGGTTCAATTTCTAATTTAGTGGCAATTTCCTTTGTAATATCCATGACACTAGAAAAACCATTTTCTCTATAATTCTTGAAGAAAGAAACTAACCCTTTAATTTGATTACCAACTATATCAAGAAGCATATCTTTTGTTTGTAAATGTTTGCTAACTAAATTAACCGCATATAAGATTTCAAACCAAATGATTATGGCTAACAAAAATTCAAAGTTACTAAGTTCATTTGTAGCTAATGAACTTGCATCACTTTGAATTTTAGGATCAATGTTTGTATCTGACACTTGAAGTAGGGCTTCTCGAATATCACCGATGATTTGATACCTAATTGCTTTAACACTTCCACACGACTTTTTCACCGAGTAGATGACAATGGCTTAAGAGTTAGATTGGTACATTACTTTTCAAAATATGCTACATCTTTTTGGAATTAGTGAATATTGTATAAATATGTTGCATTACTCCAAAGAAATCCCTTGCTCTGCCATAACTATTTGTAACGTCACACAAAGTCAAGTTAAGACTATGGCTACCACAAGGGGTATAAAATGCTCTACGATTTACTTCCAATAGTCTTTATTTATTTTTTTATTTTTTATACACCTTGATGTCTCTCTCTCATATTTGGCACATTGTCATAACCTTGACCCCTTACATCCATATCAAGATCAAGTGATATCAACACATTTTGTAATACTTCAAAAAGACCTTGGCCAGTAGTTTCATTCGCAACCAAGAATTCCAGTAAGAACTCTTCTATTTTAATTAGATATGTTGATATGTCAACACATATTAAAATCAAAGACATTTGTTGTTGGTGACTAAGATTAAAAGTATAATCTAATATCACAGAAAAATATTGTGCTTCCTTGATTTTTTTGATGACCTTTGTTTTAACCGAGCAAGCATAAGTTCCAATTTATTTTGGTAGCAAGCAAGGTGTTATCCTTATATAAAACAAGGAAGCATATTCTACTCCTACATACTAACCTTCTAGTATATGCAATGATCTAAGGAATTTTCAACAAAACAAAATAAAGAAAGACCCCGTTGAACTTAATATACCATTGACATGAAACTTATTTAAAATCGTATATGGATTTTCTTAGCTTGCAAACCAAATGCTCACCACCTCGATCTAGAAGAGAAACCTTGAGGTTGTTTCAAATAAACTTCATATTCTAGATCATTAAAGAGATTAAAATCGTTTTCACATTCATCTATTGAAACTTAAGGTTAAAGTGTGCAAATACAACCAAAATAACTCGACAGAATCTTACTTCGTCACAGGAGAAAGGTCTATATGTAATCGATTCATTCTTTCTAAGTAAATCCCTTAGCAACAAGTCTAGTCTTTGTATCTCTACATGCTGCCCAATGATGTTATTTTAGTCTTACAAACACATTTACACACAATAGCCTTGGCCCCATTAGGTGACTCCACAAAGTCCCAAATTCCATAACTTTTTCAATCAATTTATTTCATCTTTCATGACTTCAAACCATAAATTATATTGTTCACAATTTTTGACTTATGAAAATGTTTCGAGATAATTTTTGACTCCAATGTCAAATTCTTATAGATATAACACATAGTAACAAGGAAATGTTGAGCATCTTACTTGAGTAAATTGTTTTAACATTGGATGATCGACACCTTGAGAGGTTGCGAGACAAGTACCTCTTTAAAAACTAGGGGTAGTTCTTGAATTGGTTCGACCTATATCATTTTAGGAATTTGTGATAAACCTTGAATCAATTCATCCCTTTGGTTAGGAAACGGGTCCAGGAAATTGCAGTAGTTCCTAGGCTGGTTTATCCAATGGTCGATTTTTAGTAGTTTTTCAAATCTTAATAGTGAGTTGTACAATAGCAAATGAGAAAGCAAGGGTGATATGTACAAATATCATCCCACTAGATGATTATGACCAAAAGCAAGAACTAAGTCCTTAAATCAATTTTTTTAACGAATCGAGTCATCTTCAAGAAACTTAACATTCCTTGATTTTACAATCCTAGTAGTATGTGATGGACAATAAAACCTTCATATAACCTTAGATGATTGACATCTAACAATTATTATTATTATTATTATTATTATTATTATTATTATTATTATTATTATTATTATTATTATTATTATTATTATTATTATTATTGTTATTGTTATTGTTATTGTTATTGTTATTGTTATTGTTATTGTTATTGTTATTGTATGTTATTGTTATTGTTATTGTTATGTGATCGAATTGAGCATCCAAGTCAACAAAATATACTGATGTGGCATTCCAATTATCTTTAACCTCAAGGTTACA